GCTAATATCATATTTGTTAGTGAAAGACTGAATGCTTTCCCCTCAAGACTGGGAAAAAGATGAAGATGTCCACTATCAACACTTCCATTTATCATTGGACAGGACGTTCTGGCCAGTGAAATAAGGCAAAAAGAAAGATAGGAAGGAAGAAAAGAAGGGAGGGGTGGGGGAGAGGAAAGGAGAGAAGGAGAAAAAGAGGGAGGAAGGGAAATAATCCCAAAGAATAAAGCAAAGTTGAAAGATACAATTTCAAAATAAGGAAATCAATTGTATCTATATACTAGTAATCATCAATCCAAAAATGAAATTAAGAAAATATTTTTATTCACAATAGCATAAAAAAGTACTTAGGAATAAATTTAATTTTTAAAATGCAAAACTTTACACTGAAAACTACAAAATATTGCTTCTTAGGAATGTTTAAGTTTCCCTTGAACTTAAAAAGATTTAAGGAGGATATTTTTTGTTTATAGATTAGAAGACTTAATATTGTTAAAACATCAATTCTCCCCAAATTGTTCTCTTGATTCAATGCAAACCATATCAAAATCCCAGCAGGCTTTTTGTAAAACTTGACAAGCTGGTCCTAAAATTGATATGAAAATATAGAGGACCTAGAACAGCCAAAACACTTTTGAAAAAGAGCAAAGTTGGAAAACATATACTATCTGATTCCATAACTTACTATAAAGTTACAGTGTGATGTTGGAGCAAAGATGGTTGTGTAGATCAATGGAACAGAATTGAGAGTCCAGAAATAAATCCTTCCGTTTACAGTCAATTGATTTTCAGTGAAAGTGCTACAGGGGCTGGCCAGTTAGCTCAGTTGGTTAGAGTGTGGTGCTGATAACACCAATGTCCAGGGTATACAGCAATTCAGAGAACTATCCTATAGAAAAGATAATTTTTTCAACAAATGGTGCTGAGACAATTAGACAAAAAAAAAAAAAGATTAATTTAGATACATTTGTCACAAAGAATGCCCACATTTCAGGATATGGCTAATTGCATTTGCATGGTATCAAAAAACATTTCCCCCTATCCTTCAAGTTTCCTGGAAATATACCTCCTTTTTTTTGAAACTCAGACAAGGCTTTACTGGGGCTCATGCTCAAGCACAAGGGAGACAGCACAGAAGGGAAGATCCTTTGACTGGCTCCCCAAGGGACCCTTCTGGGTCCTTTATAGAGTAAAGGGTGCGGGCCAGCATCATCATTCTGAGTCTGTGGAGGTCTTAGGAAGCCAACCCAAGAATATGACGCACTCTGATTATCTGTACTAGTTGAGTAAATTCCTCTCTTCTGGAGGTCCACCAAATATCGAGGTTCTAGCTGTACATTCTTTACTTACCACAAGACCAGGAACCCTGTAATCATGAAGACAAGGTATCAAGCCAGTCCTTCCAACGGGATTTTTACTGGCTCCACGAAAGCTCAATCTCAATTCCTTAAGGCAGTCTGCTCATATCTGGAAAAATGACATTCTAATTAAAGCCTTGGTAAATCAGTGTCTCCAATTTTGTCCTGTTCCAAAAGAAAACAGATTCTTAAGGGGATCCAAACCCTTGACCTTGGTGTTATAACACTGAACTCTAAAGAAAGAAAGCTGATTATTATTGAACTTATGCAAATAGCTGTATTGCCATAAAATAAGAATATCCACATATATTTTAAAAATTCATGTGGGATCAGTTTGTTCTTCCTGGTTGCAGCATGGGCATGGGCATATGCTCAGTTAGGGCTTTGGTCCTTGTGCCTGCTCAGTAGGTCCAAGATGACAGTGTTGCTCACTATTGCCACAGTCATCTTGAAGCTTTGTGTGCATGCACATGTGGCAGTAAGGGCTAACTGCCTGGGGGAAGTTTGTGGTTAGAAAATTTCCTTATCTTGGGGCCGGCCCGGTGGCACACTGCTGCAGTGCACGGCTTGGGAGGCGCGGCGGCGCTCCCGCTGAGGGTTCAGATCCCCAGGCCGGCAGCTCACTGGCTGAGCGAGGTGCGGGAGCGACACCGAGGGTTGCGATCCCGTGGCCGGTCACAAAAAAAGACAAAAAGGAAAAAAAAAAAAAAAAAAGAAAATTTCCTTATCTTGGGCCAGCCCGTGGCTCACTCAGGAGAGTGCGGTGCTGATAACACCAAGGCCGTGGGTTCAGATCCCATATACGGATGGCCGGTTTGCTCACTATCTGAGCGTGGTGTTGACAACACCAAGCCAAGGGTTGAGATCCCCGTACTGGTCATCTTTAAGAAAAAAAAAAAAATTTCCTTATCTTAATTCGTGAAAATAGCTTAGCTAAGCGTGCTGGATTCTTTGTGGCTGGGGGTGAGGGGCTAAGTCTTGTCTCTAATCTGTCTTATTCCCCCAGAGGGACTTTACTCTCCTCATTCTTAAGGAGAAAGGGACTGAAGGTCTCATTTTCTGGAGGTGCTTCCTGCTAAAAAGGGGTGATGACCCTATACCCTAGAGGTGTGAAATCCTCTCACTGACTGATCTAATGATTTATAGGGACTTGGTGCCTCTTGAGAGGGGATGGATTGGAATCCTTGTGCCATCATCGACTTGACATGGCTCTGTTGTAGCCTGGAAGGCACAGACTTTACTAACAGATGAAAAAGACAGGGCTTAATCTACTGACATTTTTACCAAAGATATTTACGACAAGACTAATTCATTTGCAAAATAAGTTTAGTTTCTAGCCAGAGTGTTTGCATAAAGTGCAGCAGGATAATGATTTATCATACAGGCTCTTTCTAAGTTGGCTTTGCTGGAACTTTTATAAAGAATATCAGATTATCCCTCTAAAAGGCTCAGTTGGTTAAAGCTGGTGTTGTAAATCTGAGGTCAGGGGTTCAGATCCCCACACCAGCCAGCTGTCAAAAAAAAAAAAAGAGGTGAGGAAGACAAGGCCAGATTATGGAGGGCTCCTAAATCATGCACAGAAAAAAATAATGGAACTCCAAAAATGACATGATCATTTTGGCAGCCATTTTAGAAAAATGGTTCTGTCTGGAATATGAAGAATATATTAAAATATGAAGGATATGTAGAAAAAATAAAAGCAAGAAGATTTACAAGACTCTAGCAATAAGGTAACTCTGTTAAATAATTGTGTGTGCAAAGACAAGAAGAAGGGAAAGTGTCTCCCAGCTTTGTTTTCCGGTTTAAGAACCTAGGTGTATAGGGAATCCACCAACCAAGGAAGGGAGAGAGGCAGTATTGCCTAATGACCACAGGCTTGTTCACAGACACCTGCACTGGTTTCCAGGTCTGTCACTTCCTAGTTGTGGAACTTCATGGGAAGTGCCTTAATTTTTCTGTGCCTCAACTTCATCATTTACAAAATGGAAATAATATCTCTTTCAACAGTTGTCCTAAGGATAAGGAAATGCATGTAAAAACACTGAAAATAGTGCCTGGGACTTAGTAAGCTTTTATAAGCATTGTCTGTGATTATTATTACCATGCAACATAAAATAAAGAACCTAGAGAAAAGTTCTGTTTAACATTGTGTTAGGTTTCAAATATTTGCATAGGGGACCATCCCAGGAAAGATGTCCATGGAATTGTTTATATCTGGGTCTAGCTCAGGAGAGAGATGTAGGGTAGGGACATTAATTTGGGAGTTCTCAACCCATGGTTGAAACCAATATGAGAGATGGGAATTACTGAGGAAAGGCCACGGAATCCGGCATTTGGCACTGGGAGTGGAGAAGAGGTGAGGGACTTGGAACTGAGATCAAGAAACCAAGTGATCTGCACAAATTGGATATGTTAAAGGCTGGGGTTTTTTCCTTTCTTTTTCTTTTTCTTTTCTTTTTTTTTTTTTTTTTTTTTTTT